AGCCTGGGGGAGACAGCACAGGGATCAGGTGGGGATGAGAAGGTGCAGCATGGGGACACGTGCAGATCCCATGGCTGGGCAAGGGAGAGGAAAGATATTTTCCCTCCACAGTGTGTGGCTATACCTTGCTGCAGCGGTATGAGACAATTTCCATTATATCCCAACCACTGAAAGAAGAAATGGATCCCCCAGTGCTGGACATGTTGATGATGGCTGCTTTGCTGCTGCTCATCCCTGAGCCCGGGCTCCCCTGGGCTGCCTTCTTCAGCAGGGGCAGGAATGCCTGTGGGGAGGGGAGAATCAGGGTTCCATAAGCAAGGAACGGGATCAACTCCTTCCCCAGCAGCAGTGCTGGCACCAACACCATTGGCAGCCGTCTTCCTCTTTCCTCATCCCCACACCCCCTCCCTGCCCCAGGTTCCAGCCCCCCAGCACCAACCCCTGTCCCACAACTTCTCAGAGCAGCTCAGTAGCACCAGGCCTGACATCACAGCACAAGAGCAGAGCAGGGCTCTGTCCCACCGGCCCCTTCCTTCTGCCATGGGGGACCTCAGGGCCTCAGAACAGGGACGTTCCTGGAGCTGTGGGTGCGCACATTATTACCTGGCTGAGCAGCAGAGGTGCAATGGTGTTGGTGGTGTACACCTCGGACATGTCCTTCAGTGTTTCATTGTCAAGCCTGTTTGCCTTTAAAATCCCCGCGTTGTTGATGAGGAGGTTCAGCCCCGAGCCCTTGAGGCGCTCCCCGACGCTGGCTGCGGCCGCCTTGATGCTGGCGGGATCGGTGACTTCTGCAGAGGCGAGGTGGGGAGGTGAGTGCCCGCTGCCCGGACAGAGCCCTGCACCAGGGATGTGGGAGGACGCGGTGCCGGCAGAGCAGGGAGCCCAGGGAGGCAGCCTAGAGGTGCAGCTGTGTCACCTACCGAGCGGGACAACGACCAGGTTGGGGTGCTTGGCGGCCAATTTCTGCAGCTCCTGCAAGAGAAGGGACTACATGGGCACAAAGGGGCAGAAGGAACAAGGAATCTCTTGGCCTTCTCCTGAATCATCGAATCATAGAATCTCAAGTTTGGAAATGACCTACAAGATCATCTAGTCCAACTGTCCTCCCATCACCATTGCCACCACAAGCACTAAACCAGATCTCGCAGCTCCTCGTCCAGATGCCTCTTGAACGCTGCCAGGGACGGCGACTCCACCACCTCCCTGGGCAGCCATTCCAGTGCCTGACCGCTCTCAGAGAAAAAGTTTTTCCTTATGTCTAACCTAAAGCTCCTCTGGCATCCTCCCATGCTAAGTGCCCTGCTTGGGCTGCCTGGCTGCTTGGGCTGTCCCACTCCCTATGAATGTGTCTCTGCACATCCTGTGCACTTCACGTGGCACACATTGCACTCGTCCCAGCGAGGCAAAACCCAGCCCTTTGCCTGCAGCCCTGGGGCACACAGTGCCGGGCAGTAGTAGCAGCTCCCAAGCCCAAGGAACCCTGGGCACCCCATGCTTATGGCAATCCCACTGCAGCTCTCCTGTGCCTGAGGTCTGGGGCTGCAGCTCCGTGGTGGAGACCTTCACACATCCCCACTCCTGCAGCAGCCCTGCTGTCCCCCACCTCAGCTGCATCCCAGCCCAGCCTCACCTGTGCTCGCTGTCCCTTGGGGTCCCGACAAGTTGCAAAGACCCACTCAGGTGGGTTTGGCAATGCCAGCAGGTGCTGCACAAACCCCAGGCCGATTCCCCGGTTGGCCCCAGTCACCAGAGCGGAGCGGAAGCAAACTCCAGCCATACTGCTCCGTCTGCCTCCGTGCTGACACTGCACTGCACTGCCTGCAGGTGCCTTTTAGTACTCAGTTATCTCACATTTTCCCGTGAGGGCTTGCATCTGCTCTTTGCTCCACAAAACTCTCTGCACTTTGCCTGCCTCTTGGCTTTACTCCACAACCTGGATCCACCTTTCGTGGTGGCTGAGTGACAGAAGGGGATCCCAGCATCCTGCCGGGCAGGGAATGCCTGGCTGGGAGGTCTGACAGCCGATGCTCACCTGGCGGTGATGCAGGTGATGCATGCTGTCCTCTGCCCCACGAAAAGCCACCTCTGCTCCCAGAGCTGATGCAGTGCAAGCACCAGCTTGTTCATGCAGGCACTTGGCTGCAGTTTGGTTGCCGCTTTTCCTACCGCCCTCTTCTCTGATTTACCAAAATGTGAGCCTCGTGGTTTTGGCACCAGAACCACCTCTGTTCCTGCATGGAGGGGCCTCCTCCCACCTTCCCTCGGGGCCGGATTGGCAAAGCTGGGTTGTGCACAGCACCATTTGTGTGCACAGCACCAGTTGTGTGCGCAGCACCAGTTGTGTGTGCAGCACCATTTGTGTGCGCAGCACCAGTTGTGTGCGCAGCACCAGTTGTGTGCGCAGCACCATTTGTGTGCACAGCACCAGTTGTGTGTGCAGCACCATTTGCGTGCACAACACCGTTTGTGTGCAGCACCATTTGGGTGCACAGCAGCCAGGAGAGGCGAGAGCCCTTCTGGCACCATAACAGGCCAGAAAACCTGGGAACCTTCCAGAACTTCTTGAAAACCCACCAGAGGGAACCTCTTCCCAAAGCTCAGCCCTCATAGCAGCCACGAGCTTCAGCTGGAAGCGCAGCGGAAGGCCAGCATTCCCACCCATCTCAGGGTGACGCCGGCGATCCTCGCTTCGTTTCTGTGCCGGCGCGGCCACGACGGACCCAAATCCCAGCTGCCCTCCAGAGGAAGCAGCGTGACGCCATTGGAAGTCCCGTTCGCGTCTGGGCGCGTCCCCGTGGGCTGCCAGCAGCAGGCGGGGAGCAACGCGACTGAGCGCAGCACGGAGCGACCCGGGGAGCGCGGAGCACGAAGGACGGGTTCAGCTCAGCGGTGCGAGCCGGAGGAGCTCCGGGGACGCGCTGCAAACTCGGAGAGCCGCTCACAATAAACTCGGCCGCGTTCCAACACCGCTCTCCTCTCCCCATCCTCGGCCCTGCGGAGCACGAGGCGCCTCCGCATCCACGGAACGCCGCCCCGCCCCGGATGCTGCCGCCCGGCTGCGTTTCCCCTTCCCGGGCCGCGGGCGGCCATGGCGGCGCTCTGCAGTCCTGGCGGGGCGGGAGCGGCGGAGCGGGCGGCCGAGGGCGGGTGAGGCGGCGGCGGCGGCGGGGTGGGGGGAGCCGGGAGCCGGGCTGCGCTGCTGCGCTTCGGCTGTCAAAACGCGGCCCTTCCTCTCGCCCCGCCAGCTTGCTGTACGCCAATAGGAATCTCTCCGCTCCCGGCCTCTACGTCGTGCAGCCGTGGATCGTCGGCCTGCTGGTGAACCACGAGCAGCCGGCCGACGGCAAGAAGTGGCTGACGGGGCAGGTGCTGCGGGTGGGTGTCTGCGTGCGGGGGGGGCGGCGGGTTGCGGTGGCTGGCAGCGTGCCTTCACTGCACTCAGAGCCCGCATCCAAAAGCGGCTTTCGGTACCCGGAGGGGCTGGAAGAAGGAAGGGGACAGGCGTTTTGGTAGGGGCTGTTGTGGTGGGACAAGGAGAAACGGGTTCCAGCTGAAGGAGGGGAGGTTTGGAGTGGGTGTAATGAGGCATGGGCTGCCCAGAGGGGTGGTGGATGCCCACTGCCTGCAGGCACCCAAAGTCAGGCTGCACGGGGCTCTGGGCTCTGGTCCAGTGTTCACAGAATTGGGTTGGAAGGGACCTCAAGGATCACGAAGCTCCAACCCCTGCTGCATGCAGGACCACCAACCTCCACATTTAATACAGGCTGCCCAGGGCCCCATCCAACCTGGCCTTGAACACCTCCAGGGATGGACAGGGCATCCACAGCCTCTCTGGGCAGCTGTTCCAGCTCCTCACTGCTCTCATAGCACAGAACTTCCCCCTGACATCCAGCCTAAATCCTCCCTCCCTCAACTTCCAACCATTTCCCCTTGTCCTGCTGTTATCTACCCTTTCCAAGAGTTGTTCATTGCAGTGGAGCCAGAAGGGATCTTTTAAATGTCATCCAGACCAGCTCAAACAGTCCTATGATGGGCAGCCTGAAGGGAGAAAGAGGGAATCAGCTGGGCTGAGTCCGTACTCCTGGCTCCTTTCATGCTCTCTGCTAGCCCTCGTGTCCCCTTGCTGCCCAGCAGCAGCTCGGTTTGGCTGGGGAGGAAGGGTGAGAGCTGGCTGTGAGTGCTGCTTGTGGCTGATTGCTCTTCTCTGCTTCAGAGCCAGCACTGTGGAGAACAGTGGGCTAAACTGTCGTTAGCTGTGCACTAAGTGCTGAGGGCATCACATAACTACGAGTTCTACAAGTGAATAATTCAGTTGTGTTAAAACATTGCTGGGTTTCTGCCTGGTGCCCTCCGACGCATCGCAGACCCTCATGTGGTGACACTACCTCATGTGGTGTGACTGGTGTGATTTGGGGTCAGAGGATGAAGAAGCTGTGAGATATCACTGAGTGTGAGATCTGCAGGCAGGGCACTCGGCTGTGATAATCATAGAACCATAGAATGGCCTGGGTTGAAAAGGACCACCATGATCATCTCGTTCCAACCCCCCTGTTGTGTGCAGGGTCGCCAACCACCAGACCAGGCTGCCCAGAGCCACATTATGCACAGTATGTAGGAGGGATGCCTCCTTACAGGAGCAGGGTGCCAAAAGGTGGCTGCTGGGCCACTTTTTGGCCCAGTCCCCACTCCCTGCTGGGAGATTCTTCAGGCTGGGATGGTGACTGAGCAGATCCTGAGGGCACCCCAGGCGTGCTGTGCTGCCTTTGATCACTGTCTGTTCTCTGGGTGATGTTCATTCTGCTTTTTTCATTCCCTGTTCTGTAGGTTTTGAGTGGCTCAAGTGCTCCTGGCCAAGGTGAAGCACAGCAAGATGCTGTCTTGCAAGTCTCAGACGGCTCCCACTACATCCGAGTGGTCATTACAGCAGAAGCTCTGCAGGCAGAAGAAAAGTGGGTTCCATCGTGGCTCGGCCGTGGCTGGGACTGCAGCTCTGCAAAGCTGCTAGTGGGGCTCCCGCCTGGCTTTGTTTCAGGTTGTGTTAAGCTAAATCAATAACAGGGTGGGCAGTCGGTGTGAAGGAGGTGCAGCTGCTAGGCTGGAACACGGGCACTGGTGCTGCAGTTGTGGCTAGCTGGGATGTGCAGGGGTTGATGGAAACACCTTAGCTGTGGTTCCTTGGGCTCTGTCAGTGCTAGCAGCCTGTCTCGGTTTCTCCATTTGGATGTGAGCCCTCTGTTTTCCAGCTGGAGCAATTGCTGGTATCAGAAGGAGGATATAAAGCAGCTCTCAGCAGCTCAGCCCCTGATGCTCACGCTGAGAAGTGTTCCGTTGTGCCCCTGTGTTGTGTAGCTGTAAGGGGAGCCCCATGGTGGGTGTGGGCGGTCTGACTTCATTCTTCATCTCTCCCAGATGGTCCCGCTCTGTTCTTTTTCTAGTGCCCACATGCAGTTCATGCTTTCCAGCCTTATCTGTAGACTGATCACCTTGCAGAAGTACACGCTGTGTTTCCGGGAGGAGGCCAAGCTGGTAAATGCTTTGACGCATAGAAGTAACTTGTTCCCTGACCTTGCCTTGCTCCCTGCATGCTTTGAGCTGCTCCCAGGGCTGCGTGATGGAGCTGGGGGTGGGTGGAGGCTGGCCTTTCTTCACGGCCCTTCAGTGCTCAGGTCCTGGCAAGCTGTGTGGTGACAGTGAAGAAGACTTGATGGCCTGAGCCCTCCCTGGGGACGTGGTGCATCTCCCCAAGGGTCTGCAGTGGCCTCAGCCGCCCGACTGCTTCCTCTGGCTGTTCTGGAGCTGCCAGCTCTGTGCCTGGACCTCAGCCTGTGCCTGCAGGAGGCCTGTGTGGACCTCAGCCCGCAGCAGAGAGCTCCCTGCCCTCCCCTTGCTCAGATTCAGGCATTTCCCCATGGCCTCAGGCTGGCTCAGCCTTGCTTATAGCCCATGAAGAGGCTGCTGCAAAAGCTAACAGCTGATGCAGAAGGTGCAAAACTCGCTGCAGGGGAGGTCAGGCTGCCCCTTGTGAAGGTTGTTAGCTGGGCTGGAGGAGGGTGCTCACCAGTCCTGAAGTGGAAGGGAGCAGAGCTGTGACTGCTTGCCCATCCCACACGGACTCTGTTTGCCCCAACAGGAGGACTGCGAGTTTTATCTCACCGCCCAGCGCTTCGTTGTGCTGCCCATGGAGAGGCAGAGGATGGATTCATCAAATGTGTATGTGCCAGGGTGCAGGCTGGGGCTGGGGGTACTGGTCTGTGGGGCTTGAGCATTGCCCTGGAGCTGAGAAGACAGTGTTTGCCACGTAGCACTGAAGCCAGGAGCCGTTGGCACAGCAGCACGCACTGCCAGTAATGAGCTAAGAGATGTGCTGCTGTGACCTGGTTGTGTTAGAGACCATTGTACTCACTGAATGAGAGAGATTTGTGTCACAAACTCTGAAGGAATGTGTGCATGGGAGGGAACGCCCCATCAGTAACTGGCTTCTCTGTTGTTCTAGGAACCAGGAGCCCTCTGTGCTACAGAAGATAAAGGAGCTCTGGATGTGAGTATGGGGCTGGTGATTGCCAGGGAATACATGCAGACACCACAGTGTGAGCGTGCAGGAACTGAATGTTTTTCACATGAGCTGGCAGGGGCTGGTACGTGTTTGATGGTGGTTCCTTGTGAATCTGTGGGACTCTCTGCCTTGGGATGTGACAGAGCTGAGCAGAGAGTGCAAAGCAGGTCACTTCCATGGGTGTGATCCCGCTGACACAGGAGCCCACCCAGCTCTGACACTGGCTTTCTCCTTGGTCATTGCAGGAGGAATCTCTCTATGGGGACCACTGCTAGCTCAGGTAAGGGTCATGAAGACCTGTGTGGCTGAGGAAAGAAAGGAAAGAGGAAATGCAGAGGAAATGCAGTTTTGCATCTTTCCACAAGTTTCTGTCGTGCAACAGAAAGTAAAAGCATTTGCCTGAGCTGAGGTATCTTTTCCACTAACATAGATGTGTTCTTGCTCCAGAGCCGTCCCTCTCTCAGCTGTTAGAAGTGATAGCACAGGACCAGCTTGAGGTCTTGAAGGAAAATGCTGAGGAGTGCTTGGATTTGCAGGTGCCCAAAGAGACACCCTCAGCAGAGGCAGACAAGGTTCCTGTGACCCGGTGGGAGGCAGAGCTCCAGAAAGAGGTCAGTCTAAGTGTTGAGCAGTGCCTGGTGCAGAGCCAGGCACTGTGTGACCATCTGGGGCAGGGCTGTGACAGCTCGTGGTGGGGGCCTGCTTGGAGGGCTTGGAGGAGGAAAGGGAAGAGCAGGGGGCAGAAGCAGAGGTTTGTTGGGAAGCGAAGCTATGCTTGCCTGTGAGTGAGCTCCTGCAGCTTGAGAGGGACCACACAGCAAAAAGTAACAAGTCATGTTTCTCATTTCAGCCACGTGAGGACATCTTCATAGTCCCAGCCAACATCCTGGTGATCCCTGCTGAGGAAGCAGTGGCTGACCACGGTGCTTCCCAGGCAGGTCAGTGCTGAGGCATCGTTTGGAGGGTATGCAGGTCAGCAGTTCAGTGCCCAAGCATGTTGAAATAAGAGACTTTTTCCTGGTTATGGTCTGAGCACAACCCACAAACATCTAGAAGGTGGAATTTTGAAAGCTGCAGCCCGTAGACTACAGAGCACCCTAAGAGCTTTGTAGGTCACAAGCCTGGTTGGCACATTCCTTCTCTTGAAGTCTCAATCCCCACACTGCTGAGATGCCAGAAGTCCTGTCAGCTGCCTGGGATCTCTCTAGAAAGTGGAGAAGGCTTCCTTTGAAGGCTGAGCAGTGTGCTGGGGTGTGACCAGCAGTGTCCCTTTTGTTTCAGCTACGTGTGAGGCATCTCCTGAGAAGAGTGGCTACGAAATGACAGTTCCAGGCGATCAGAGTGTCATAGCCCAGGCCAGGTGTAAGTAGTGGGACATACACATCCCATGCAACCTCTTAGTATTTTCATCCGAAGTCTGCTCAACCTGTCTTCTCTTTGCATTAAGTGAAGGACATACCAGCAGAGCCAGCTCTCTAGGAGTGAGTACTTCTGGCATTGAATGAGCAGGGGGTAATTTCACACCTCCAGCTTGTCCTGGGCAGTGCAGGCTGTGCTCCAGCCACCAGGAGACAGCACACACCTGCGAGTCCCTCATGGGGACCACATTATCAGGTCACAGTCTGTGAATAGCTTCTGTGAGGTTTCTCACCTCTTGGTACGTAGAGTGCAGGAGGTGGCAGCTGCTGTTTACGTGCTCCAGTGTGTTCTGACTGTGCCTGCTTCAGCAGCAAGAGGCCAGGCCCACTGCCAGCCCTGCACGAGAAAGGAAAAGGGTGCAGAGGAAGGCCTTCCTCCTGCCTGCCTGCTTTCTGGGTGCTCAGTATCTCTCCACTGCCCGAATGAGGTCTTAGAAGGAATCTGGCTGAGCCATCACTCCAGATTTGTCCCCTAAAAGGGTTTCAGAGCTCCCCCTTGAGTGCTGTCTGTGCAGTTCATCACTCTTTTTAGCTGTTGCAGTGCTGGGAATAGACAGCAGCATTCTTGGTCCTGCAGTTCAACCCAATCACATCCTGGTCATGGTTGTTGCAGCTGCAGAGTCAACAGTATTGTCAGAGGACTCAGAAGCATCGCTGGACAACCCTTGGAACAGGCTGCCCCCTGTGTCCTTGACCCTGTCCTCTTCAGAAGGTGAGTCTCCATGCTGTGTGGAGCACACGTGTTTTGCTGGGAGCAGACAGCCCCACTCCTCTCTGCGTGGACATGCAGCTCCTCCTTGATGCTGACTGACTTACCCTGGTTAAAAAGTAGTGCTGTGCTGATCTGATGTCCCCAGGGTGCCATTTCCCCATGGCTGCACTGATGCTCACCTGCCCTGTCTCACATACCAGCACAGCTCCTGCTCCCACGTGTTACCACCTGCAGAGTGCCCCTTGCTCAACGTGGCTCTGCTTTTTTCCCTCTTTTACCAGAGAAGTCCCATCTGTGTAGCTCTCCACGCGCTCAAGAGGCCCAGCAGGAGGTGGCTGCCGACAGCAACACCCCTGACTTGTTGGAACCTTGTAGCCACGATTCTCCCCAGGCCTTGCTGCAGGATGACTCAGTGCAGACTTCATCTCCCTCTCTGCTCAGCTCGTATTGCAATATCAGCCCTGTGAAGGCTGACATGACCCAGGCAACATCAACTGCAGAGGCAGCCTGCTCTGCCCCTTGTGCTGCTCGAGTCCCACTGGGGCTGGAGGATTCTCAGGCCAACGTGTCATCAGTCTCTCCAGTTTTACCCGTCCTGCCCAGCGGCCACTTGGCATCCCGTGCTGAAAGGGCACCTCACCAGGAGCAGGCGGACTCCAGTGGCACAGCTTTCCCTCTGTATATGCAGAAGCATCACCTGGGTGATGCCAGAGCCAGGGGAGGAGAATCCCCAAGGAAGACCAGAAGGGCTGCGGGTGCCAAGAGGAAGCTGTTGGTGGGAGGTGGTCAGGCTCTGCCTCACCCGTGTCGGTCCCTTGGTGGACCTCAGCACAGAAAGCCTCCCCAGCACCCCTCTAAGGGCACGGGGAGAGAAGTGGGCAGGAAGCTGGAGTTCACGAGCCCACAGAGAGCAAAGAAGAGCAGAAGGGAGATAGGGCCACGGCGTGAAGAAGAATCCCTTGAGGAGGAGCTGGATGAAGAGGAGGAGTTGGAACTGGATGAAGAGGAGCTGGAGCTAGACGACGAGGAGGAGCTGGATGAAGAAGAGAATGAGGAAGAAGAGCAGGGATCCTCAGTGAAAAGTCCCAACTACCACCTGGAGCGGCACAGAGAGCTGCAGCCGGTAAAGATGAAGCAGCTGGTGGGATCCTGTGGGACTCATGTGGCACCCATTGAGGGTTTGTGTGTCCCCACACCCCTCTTGTGCCTCCTGCAGGCCTTTCTGCATGTTTGTAAGGCTCTGCTGGGGATGGGCAGTGGAAAGCAGGCGTGCTGAGCCAGGCCTTCCTGGCTCCTGGGGAGGCAGAGCAGAGCTGCTGTAAGCAGGGTACGGGGAGGACTTGTGACTCTGGGTGAAGGTGTAGCTGTGCTCAGCGGGGAGCTGGGTAGGAAGCAGCCCTTGGTGAAGGCTTTTCCAGGTCTCCAAGAGCAATGAAGTGAGGAGGGAAGGAAATGAGGGAGGGAGGTAAGAGCTGCTGCAGATGTGTCGAGGTCTCGGGACGTGTCATGGGACTGTGGTCTTGTTTTGTGGCTGGCCAGCTGTGCTCCCGCAGCAGGCTCACTGTCTCCTTCATTTCCACAGTATGTGAATGAAAATCCACCCCGCTACAAATACGAGCCCCCCAGCCCAGAGCTCTGCAAGCAAATACAATCCATCAGGTCAGTGCAGTGATGGACTCCATGCGCCCTGCCTTCTCCCAGCCCTCGGTTCTCTGTGCACAGCCATCTGCTCTGGCCCCCTTTGCAGCCCAGTTGCAGTGGGTCCCTCTGTCCCTGCCAGGTCCTGAGCTCTGCTTTGTCTCCCTTGGAGCAGCAGTCCCACCGTGGGTCTGCCTGGGCACCTTTGTGTCCTCCCATTGGGTTCACATCTCATTGCAGCTCGCATTTTGGTTTTGCAGGCTCTCCAAGGCGATGATGATGTGGGCGAGCTGGATTGTCACGGAAAGGGATACGGACTTTTGAGATGAGACCATGTGGAGCTTGAGCGTGCTCATCTCCTTTCTTCAACCTGTTCAGCAACCTTCCTTTAAAGCTGCACGTCCCTCAGGGGCTGCTGGGTGGTGGCTGGCCAGGCATCGGGGACCCTGGCAGCGACAGTGCTGGGGCCATGACCTCTGGTGGAGGCCAGCATCCTCGGTTTTAAGAGGGAGAATGCCACCTGTTTGGGGATGCTGCAGTGCATGAGCTGGGCTCGTTCTCACCTCAGTGCTATGCTGCACCTGTGGTCTTTCCATTGTAGCAAACAGCCTGCAAGGAGAGGGGACCTGTTCCCACTGTAGCATTGGCAGCAGCGATGGCAGATGTGGGCACCAGGCCCTGGAACCTGATCCCCTTCCTGAAGCCACTGCAGCATTTGGGCATTTATTGACTCGGTTTCGTTGAGTTCCACACTCTTTCTTACAAAATATCCAGCAAGGTTTGCATTGTTAAAATTAAAAGTCATATATTTTTTAAATACACAGCTCTTGTATTAAAAAAAAAAAAAAAAAGAAAAGGCAGGGGGGACGGGGGAGGGGAACAAACAAACAAACAAAAAAAACCAACCAAGCATCTTGCTTCTGTGTCGTAAACATCAGTGCAGGGAATGCATTTGGTCCAGAGGTGGAGGGGAGATGGATCTGCTCGCGGTTGCCACAGGAGAAAGCCAACGTGGGGTTTGGGGTGATGCTGGTGGCGGCAGGGCAGTGGTTGGAAAGGTGATGGTTGGAGGTCATGCTGCGAGATCCGTGGGCCTCGGGGTGCTGGAGGGGCAGGTTCCTAACCGTGCCAGCGTTCCCTGCCACCACCTGCAGCACAGCAGCGTGTGCCCATGGTCCAGAGATGGGGATGGTGCTCTGTGCTCCTCCGCCCTTCATGGGGGCTCTGGGGCTGCAGCTCCGTGCCCCGCTGGAGTCCAGCCCGACAGCCCCAGTCCTTCTGCGCCGATGCCCTCGGACCGCTTCCTTCTGGAGGAGATGGTGAGGCTGCCCAGACGCGGGGAGCAGGGCACGGAGCGGCCCTACGTCCCCATCGCTAATCACCCCATCACCGTGTGCTCGCTTGCAGGGTTTTATTGGGAACAGCGCGGCGGCATGCAGGGGCTCACTGTCCCAGGGCCGGCTCCCCCAGGCCCTGCACAGGGCTTCTTTGGTCTACGGCTGAGTCTTGTGCATACACAACAGTCTGTGCTGCGGCTGGCGGCCGCTCCCCGTGCAACGCGCTGCCTGCTGTCCGCGTCTCATCCAGCGCAGCCTGCGGCCGGTCCTGCGCTGCGGCGCCTGCAAAACCACAAAGGCTGAGCTGAGCGCAGCTTTGGCTCAGCACAGGGAGCCCTCGGTGCCCGCCCCGTTCCTCACCTCCTGCTGCCACCAGCCTCGGCTCACCGCTCGCCTCCGGTCTCCGTTTCAGCACAGGCGACCGCTGCAGACGGAGGGGGATGGTGGCAGCTGGGGGGAACACAAGTGGGCGGCACGTTAAAGCGTGGGGACAACGGGAGGTGCGAGGCACGAAGGCCGCGTTTCCCACTCACTTCCCAGCTCCGCCAGGCACTCCGGCTCCCTGAGCTGCTCCTCGTGGACCGAGACGGCCCGGCGGGCCCCGAGCACAGCCAGCCGCGGCGTCAGCCGGTTGTCTGCAACGGGAGACGGGGTCAGGGGGCAAAGCAAGGGCTGATGGCGGCCACCAAGGGTCAGCGGTGCTCCGGGTACCTTCAGCAGCAGAGCAGGGCGATGGGGGCAGCGCGGTGCCGGCGGTTGGCTCCCCAATGGGGCTCCTGCCCGGCCGTGGCAGGCTGCTGCTCCAGGCCTCACGGCACGGCGGCTGCCCGCTCTGCTCGGGGCCGGCTGAGCAACGCCGGAGCTGCTCACGGCCCAGCACCGTCAGCTCGGCGTTCAGCTGCCGCCCCAACGCCTTCCAGGCCGGGCTGGGCTCCGATGGACCCCGCAGGGATGCATCTGTGGGGCAGAGCGTGGGTGCGCAGCCCTGCGACCCCGATGGATGGATCCAGCGCGGGGTGATGGCTCTTGGGTTGGGCATCCTCACCTTGCCCTTCCCCACTGCTGCCCCACGTACCTGTGGACACAGAGTGCGTGCGAGCCTTCAGGGACGGCGGGGAGTCTGCAGAGCTGTCCACGATGTCCCCTGCAAACACAGGCCAGTGGCTTCAGGGCGCGCAGGTCATCGCCCCGTAGCCAAACCAGGGCACACGTGAGGATTCTCAGGGTGTCCCCCAGGGATGAAACAAGGCCCCTCACCATCTGAACCAGCCTTCTTGATCTCGCTGTCTTTGCTCTGCAGTGAAAAAGAAAGAAGGTGACAGATAGAGGGTGTGGGAGGGATGCACAGACTGACACAGTGCATAGGATGACCCCCATCGTAAGGGTCAAGTGACAGGACAGTGGCTGCAAGCAGTGACAGCACCGTTCTGCGTCATCTGCCCCATGGGGCCACCATCTCCACCACCAGCGTGGGTGCAGGCTCTGCCCACAAGAAGCTCCAGCCTCACCTGCTGCTTCTTGCTCTCGGTGACCAGGCCCTTGGTGACACCCATGCGGTGCAGCATGATGTGGACACGCTGCTCGAAGGAGTTGGGCAGCTCCCCGTCGCTCTTCTCCAGGTGTCTCTTCTGTAGGGCAGCAGGATGTTGGCAGGACAAGGGGTGCACGGGTCTATTGGGGGTGCCAGGGGCACCAGGTTCTGCTCAAGGGTCCTCAATCCCACCACCACCACCACCCCCCTTGGTGGGAACAGCACCAGGTGCAACGAAGGGGTCATCCAATGTCCCACCACCACCACCACCTGGCCCAGTGATTGTCATCCAAGAGGACCTTTTGGGACCGGCTGGAGCGATGCTTACCTTGTCCTGCCTGACCCCCAGTGCCTCCTCATCCTCCCCAGGCAGTAGGATGAGGGACTGGGATTTGCCCTCCCTTGAGTACTTGGGCCTGATCCTGCGGGCAGCCTCAGGGGTCTGGCTGTGCTCAGGCTCGGTGCTGAGTGCCCCCTCCTCAGATTTGCTCAGAGCCTTGCCCGGCTCGCCCGCCTTGCTGGGAGCCCGTAAAATGTCACTGAGCATCGACCGCCTGCTCCTGGGGGCCGCCGCACCGCCCTCGGGCTCCTTCTCACAGCGTGAGCTCCGGCTGGATTTGGGCTTCTTGAAAGCAAAAAAATTCCCGATTTTCTTCTTGAGGGTGCGAGAGCTGGAGGATGCCAGAGGGGCTGAGCCTGGGCCGCTCTCCAGCACTGTGGGGCTGCTGGAAGAAGCATAAGGAAGGTCAGCGCAAGGCTGTGTTTTCCCTAATACCCCCCAAATCATGGATCCTTGCCTCTGGCCATTCTCACCAGGTGCCACCAGCATCACCGCCTCCAGATGCCACCACCACAGCCCTTTCCCCACCCCTCCACCCATGGAAACACCCCCACGGGGACACCAGCTCTGCCCCACTGGGTGCCTGGACCACTATGTGCCATTTCCCCAGCACCTCTTCAGCACTCAGCCAGCACAGCAGGTGAAGACAGCCTAGAACAGGGGCACCACGCACGGGGATGGATGTGTGCTGGGACCCAGCTGAGGGCTGCAGCCACCCCCACAGCTTACGGCAGCTCCTCGGTGATGAGCCTCTTGGTGAAGAAGTCCTCCAGGCCCTCATCCACGCGGGTGATGCTCCTGTCCTCACTGTTCTCGTGGGCCACAGGCTGCACCTGTAGGCAAGCACTGCCTTCAGCCACAGGCGGGGCCTTTGAGCCCTGACATCAGCCAAAAACCCCAATGCACCAAGATCACAGAATCGTTAAGGCTAAGACCATCAAGTCCAACCTCAACCCATCCCCCTACGTCCCTCAGTGCCACGTCTACCCCCTGTGGAGCCACCAGCTCCCAAGGAGGCTCACTGGGCGCTGGTGCAGGATGGGTGCTGGCACCCACTATCAGAAAGCCCCATCATGCTGTGACCAGGCTGCATCCCAGTTCCAAGCCCTCCCAAAGCCTGGCCAGGTCTCTGACCTCAGACCCACAGACAGGAAACCTTTGGCAGCGGTGTATATCCCAAGAAAAGGACATCCCTGTCCCCAGCAGGCAATGGAGCTGGTGCTGGGGGAGACCCTGGCGATGAGGTTGCCATCTTCATGGTCTGTGGAGGAAGGTCTGCCCCCAGCACGTGGCACAGCATTGGTGGCATTTCTTGACCAGAAGAAGGCACTTCTCCATCAGTGGTCTCAATCCCTAACACCTTCTCTTTGTGGCTGGATTTGTGCCTCCCCTTCCTCCTCTGACACCAGCGGCTGTGGCCAGGTTGTTTCTGGTGGGTGGCCAGATACTGCCGCATCACAGTGCTGAGGGCACCAGCTGGTGCATTTGGGGTCCAGTCCTGCTTCCACCGACTGCCTTATGGGCTTTGGGAGCCCCAAAATCCCTTCCCTGTTCCTCTTGGGTGATGAAACACCCACCAGAGGGTGACAGAGCCGCTGGGGCAGCACCCGGCTGGCTGACAGCCTCCCCCCCAAAGCACCCAAAAGTTGCATTTTGCTTCAAGCCCAGCTGGAGGAGAAGGGGACTGCTGCAGGCAGCATCTCCCCAGCACATCCCAACCTTTCGGGGTTGGCAGAGCCCAGCCCCAGCCCAGCGTAGGGCTGCATTTTGCTGCTCATTCCTGAGACACAAGAGAACGTTCAGAGGAGAAGGATGAAGGGAGACGCAGCCCCTGGCTTTTTCCCTGCCTCTCCCCCAGCTCCTGCAGTTCTGCATCGCTGATTTATAAACAAGGGACGAGCTCCCGAGCCCCCGACCCGTCCTCTGAGCTCCAGCACACAGAATAATAAAGCAGATGCATCCCACCTCCCTTCGTCAGCACGATGAGAGAAAATAATAATCGCAATAAAACAACCCGGCACGCATCCACCTCCCCCCCCCCGCCTCCAGCGCTCAGGAATAAGACACGGCGGCGATGCTCACGGTGGGCTTGCTGGGCGGCTGCTTGTGCCGGCGGTTGGGCCTGGGCCTGGCTTTGGTGCAGTGCTCCAGCCTCTCCCCGGCGGTCGGCAGGTCCATGAGGGTTTGGGCGGGCGGCGTGCCGGGATGCGCGCCGGCGGAGGGCTCAGCATCCTTTGCGGGAGCGGGACGAGCCTTCCCGGCTGCCGGCAGCTCCAGCTCCGAGAGACCTGGCGAAGGGCGAGAAGCCCACCGGTGGGGAGGGGGGAACGCGCGGCCGCGGCGCTGCTGACGGCGGGGAGAGATTGCGCGTCAGCTGTGCAGCGCAGCCGGGATGGATCCTGCTGCCACGCCGACGGCGCTGCGCGGTCCCCCAGGGATGCGGGGGGAGGGAGGGAGGGATGCTCGGGGACCCTTGCAGCGATGCCCACAGAGCAGGCGGCGGCGGCTGCCAGATCCCGATGTTTTCCTCTAATGCCTGGTTAGGTTTTTAGGGGAGAGGGCTGGGTTGCAGCCAGTAGGCTTGCTTTGGGTCTGCCTCCCTTCCATGTGCTGTCCCAGCGCTCTCTGCTTACACTCAATACGGGTTATTTGGGATGCTTTGGGGTCCACGTGCGTGCAAGGGTTTGCGGGGCTCCACAGCCCCCAGCACCCAATGTCACCCAAAGGCCGTGTGCCTTCCCCAGCACCCCCCATCCAAGGTCCTGCCACGCTCCAGCTGCCCCCAGCACACACGTGGCAGACAGTTGTACCCCAGAAAATATGCCAACGCACCCCGCACAGCTCAGCACCTGCAACACCCACCCATGGACGACTCCCCCCCTTCCATGCAAAGCCCCCTGGATGCAATAGCTGCGACCCAAATGGAGACATGGACACCTCCTGGGATGTCCTCAAACCTCCCACCCCCGCCAGCATCCCTGGAAGGGAGCTCAGGGCATCCTCCCACACTGAGTCAGCCAGGCATTGCAGCACCACGGCACCCCAAATTAATGGTGTGAGCCCTCTGCACTGTGCCCTTACTTCTCACAGTCAGCGTGGGCCGAATGCTCCTGAAGTGTTTGTTTTTTCTCCGCAGAGCCATCTTGTACTGCAAGGAGACAAGGAGGGAGGGAGCCTGTAGTGCTTTGCAGTCACCAGTGGTGTGGGGATGGCCAAGGAGGCCGTGGGGGGTTGTGTGATTTGGGGAGATGGCTGTGTTCCATCACCATGATGTTCATCATAGAATCAGCCATCAAATGCACGAGGTTGGAAGGAACCTTTAAAGTCCACTGAGCTCCAACTCTCTGCTGGGGAGGGCTGGCTGCCCTCTGCCCCCAGAGCCCATCCATGTCCTGGGCACCTCCAGAGATGGGCACGCACAGCTCTGGGCAGCAGTGCCAGTGCCTCACTGCCCTCTGAGTGAAGGATTTCCTCCTGACATCTAATCTGCATCTCCCCTCTGTTAATCTAAAGACATTTTCAAGACATTTTCCCTTGTTCTATCACCATCAGGCCCTGTAGAAGATTGGATTGCTTCCTGCTTGTAAGCTCCCCTCAAGTACAGGAAGGCTGCAGTGATGTCTCCCCAGAGCCTTTTCTACTCCAAGCTAAACAAGCCCAACCCCTCAGCCTTTCTCCATAGGAGAGGTTCTCCAGCCCTCTGAGCATCATCACAGATCATCCATTGTTCATGGATCATCCATCACCACCACGGCTCATCGTTCATGGGTCATCCATCATCACGGATCATCCAGCACCCTGCTGGCACGATGGGACTCGGCCACCTCCGTCCCATAATCACCCCTCCACCCCCAGGGCTGCGCCCTTCGCATTGGCCCAGCTCATCCCTGGAACCCAAATAACCCACCCACATGGCCAAGGTGCCAGACCCCACGTCACCCCACCTGGGTGCCAGGAGGGATGGGAGCAGCATGGGACATGGCTGGGATGCGCCCCAGGTGCCACAGGCTGCCCTAGCCTGCAGAGGCAGCGACTCTAAGCCTAGCATCATCCCATAAGGCGGATAAAAGCCCATGGGCACTGTCATGCAGAGCGGGGTCACTGGGACGGAGCCCTACCTCCTCTGTTGTGAAGCCTCTCTCGGGTTGCTCCGAGGGGTTCCTGCCCCGTGCCGGCGCAGCAGCATCGTCCTCAGCAGGCTCCAGGAGATCCGGCCCATGCGTGGGGAGGCTCTCTGCCTAAAACCATTAGGAAGCGCTTAAATTATCCCTCTGGCTGAAGTGCTGCTCTGCTCCCTGCCTGCGGCTGGGATTTGCGGGGGATTTAGGGCTGATTAGCTGGCTGCAGAGCTCGGGTGCTCCTGGCCCAGGTGCCGGGTCCATCCTAGCACCCAGCATGCTTCTCCATGGGGTGTGGAGGAGCCATGAAACCTTAACCCTGCTGCAGCCACGCTGGGAGAAGATGACCCTAGAGGATCAGCAGCCTGGTGGGGATCATTTTGCTTTGTGGATAGCAAATCCACACTCATTGTGCTGGGCGGTGCTCAGAGCTCCCCATTCCACATCTCTCCATGGGGACACGTGGACACTCACCAGCTTGCACTGGGCAGCCATCAGATCTCCCAGCACAGCATCCACGATGCAGTCGGCCACGGCAGCGGTGACGGACAGCTTGATCTCACTGGGAGCAGGGAGGGAGATGTCAGGGATGCCACAGGGCCCCATGCAGCAAGGTGAGACGAAGCCCACAGCCCTCCCACCACGATGCTCCAGCAGGAACATCACCCCATGGCCAAACCCCAAACCGGATCCAAGAACGGAGCATCACGTTGTTGGAGTTTCTCCAATCCCAAAACATCTCCATCCCCAGTACGCCAACCAAAGGCACAACACCCGTACTTCAGCTTGCTGAAGACGTCGGTGACCATCTGGTCCAGGATGGTACTGAGGTTGAGGTGCTCCTGGAGGTGGATGCGCTCCGACATGGCATTGACCAGCTGGTCCCTCGCCCCGCTCTTCTGCACTATGGGTGGGCACAGGTTGTGCGCCGCGTCCAGCACCGCCTGCATGATGGCCTGGGGAGGAAAGGGGCATCTCAACAGGAGCTGTGTTCTCCTGTTTATTCCAGGAGATGCCGTGGAGGTGGTAAAAAGGGAGATGTCCTTGGATCTTTGCACTGGGTGGATGAGCATCCCAGCCCAGCAGCTCATCACGTGTTCCCACCTGGATTTCCCGGCTGCAGGTCTGTGATGCTTCCTCCACCAGGCACTCCAGCTTGTGCTGCAGCTTGCCGCTCTGGTGCGGGGCATTCCCTGCTTCGTACAACATGGGCAAGATCTGTGGTGAGGAGAGAGAAGCCATGAGTCATCCATCCCGTGGCACCCTTGCTCTGCTTGGCCTTGGGAAGCGTACACCCATGGAAAAGTGTTGGCTGGGGACTCCCAGTGACCTGTTGGGGTTTCCATTAGTGCTGTCCTGCTTTATCTCCCTACAACCCCAGAAGCAAGGACAGGAGATGCGTTGGATGGAAATCTTGGCAGCTCAAACTAGTGGCCAACAACTCTGCCTAAGGCAGCAGGTTGGAACTGGATGATCTTCAAGGTCCCTTCCAACCTAAACCATCTTATCATTCTGTGCAGGTGAGGGTCTGGGGACTTGTTACAGAGGGAAGTTCTAAATTTTGTAGCTCTTCCTGAACATTTTGCAAGCACTCACTCACACACAGCTGCTGTGCTGACGATAGCAATACGCACTGGCTGCCAGTTAATTATGCCATCAATGAATCAATAAACCACTTTGATATGAACGTAAATCCCACAGGCCAAGCGTTTTCTTGCTGTCCCCGTGCAGACTCACACTGACGGCCAGGTTGGCATTCCTGATGGCTTCCTCAGCACGGAGGATGTCTGCCTCCATCTCCCTGCCCGGGCAGGAGCTCAGGATGTCAACATGTTTCTGCACACTCAAGCAGATCTCATTCACCATCTGCAGTGCAGAGGAGCCGTATCACCAGCCAGTCCCCATTGCCTCCCAGAGGAGCGTGTAGTGGATGGGAACATTGAGGGTGATGGAGGATGATGGATGATGATGGATGGGGCAACGCTCACCTGCTCGGAGGAGGAGGTCAGGATGCCCTGCTGCAGCCGGAAGGTCTGTGTGGGCAGAGCACGCCGTGTCTGGTTCCTCGCCAAGCAGGATTGGAGCTGTGGCGTGCAGGTGGTCATGAGCAGCCAAATCCAAGCCCTGGTCCCCTCCCCAACCCTCCGTCCCACCTTGTGCACCGCCTCCTCTGTCCTCTCAGGGTTGCTCCGGTACGCCTGCGCCACGTCATTCATTGGCAGGGGCATGGATTTGAGGGTGTAGTTCCTGCCAGAGAGTGGTGGGGTGAGCGGAGGGCACTGCCCCAAGGGCACGGACCCCAGCAGGGCAGCCCGCTGGGATGCATCTCCTGCAGGTCCTAGAAAAGCTGGGTCCCAGCCAGCCCCAGAGCCCTGGATGCCACCATCCTCAGACTCTGCACACAACCCACTGGTACTGTGTGTGATGCTTTTGGGGACAAGAGGCCCTGGGGACAGTGACATCCTGGTGCATGGCGGCAGCTGGCTGGGAGGACCACACTGCTCCATCCTTACCTCTCCAAAGCCTGAGCCACCTCCAGGAGTCCAAGGGCAGTGGTGTTGTTCCTGTCCCACACCACGGTCCTGAGAAGAGGACAGGAATGAGCCACGTATGCTTAGCAAGCAGGACATCAGCCTTGCACGTGACCTCTCACTTGCAGCTGCTGTCCCTCTGCATGCAGAATTTAGTCCAGAAGTGGCATTTAGGAATTGGATGACAGAGCAGAGTGGGACAGTAACTGCATGAGTCCAGCTGTAGCCTGCTGGGCTGTGCAGAAGCAAAAAGCCAGCACACAATGGTGGGGGGTCACCATGTAGGGACTGCTATTCAGCTGCTCTTTCGCCCTTTGTGTGTCACCATATTTGTCACCAGCACCACCAGCTGGCTGGTACAAAACAAAGATCTGGCCACAGCTCCTCACCACCAGCCAGGTCTGTGGTCACAAGGAGCATCCTCCGGTGGCTTTGGCATCACAACCACAGCCATCACCATGCAAAGCAGACCAAAGGAGGAGGTATGCATAACCCTGCTGCTACCTGAGCTTCGTATTGATCTGCAGAGCCTTGGCCAACATCTTGGCACCGGTGTCCCCCATGGCATTGCCGCTGATGTCCAGTGTGGTCAGGCTGGTGTTGCTGCCCAGGGCGCTCAGCAGGACGTTGGTGCCCAGCTTGAGGCGCGATTCAGCCACAGACAGGGACTGGAGGGGCTGAGTGGGGGAACAGGAAGGGAAATGCGGCTGTCACAGTCACAGCACGCCTGGGTGATCATCCTTGCCATGTGGTGGGGACGTGCAGGCTGGCGGCTGCCATAGCAGCCCACATTACACCAGCATCACACCGGTATTACAACACCCAAGGGCAATGAGTCCTCAGGAAGCACTGAGGATTGAGCTCAAGTGCCTGGCAGGGAGGAGGAAAGAGGTGGTCGTGGGAAGCTGGATGACAGCCAGGTCACACCATACATTTTCTCTGTGCCTCCAGACAGGCACGGGCTCTCCTGCTTCCCTCTCCCACCTTCCAAACAGAAGCTTAGATGGAGAAGTGAAAGCATCTGCTTTGGATGGAGGAAGAGAAGAGCAATGTGCTCAGATGGCGGTGGAGGAGAGGGGGATCATTGATCCCACCCTATGCTGGATGGAGCCCGGCCGACACGCTGGGTGCACCTGGGATGGATGTTGCTTGGAAGCTGAGGACAGGACGTGGGGGTGGTTGGGACACGCTGTACTCACACAGTCATCCTCCTGGGTTAGCTGGACGATGCGGTGCAGGACGTCCACCAGCCCATCCCTGTGGGGGAGGCAGGAGGTAATGCATGCACCCATGGGTGCTGGGGCAGCCAGCAGAGCCAGCCCTTCTCCTCCTGCCCACACTGGGTGAAGATGTGGCTCTACAGGGATTGGGCTTCCCGTTGTGTTCCCAAGGGATGGGTAGGGGATGACTGACTGACATTCCCTGCCAACCCAGGGCTCGGATGGGGATGGAGAGCTGAGATGGGCGCATGGTGACAGAGGGGATCTCAGCCTGGGGACAAAGCGCTGCAAGTTGCACTCACTTGGATTTGATGTTGAAGTTTTTCCCCAAAGAGACGTGCCGGATGGACTTGCTTCTGCCAATGGACAGCACCAGTGTCACCATATCAGAGTCAAAGCCTGTGGGCACAGACAGCCAGGGGGATACACGGCTTCACAGAGCCCATACACACATTTCGGCAAAGGTTAGCTGAAGAGTTTGCGAGGGCAACAAGCCTTTGGAGCATGAGCGCAGCTATGGGGGTGAGGTGCCTGCTGGGACCCTCCCCATCTTCTAGAAGCTGAGGAGCAGCCCAAGGCAGGACAACTGGGTAAGGAAAAGGCGACCCACCGTTGTCAGACAGATCCAGGTCGCTGATGGCAGTGGCATCGGGGATGAGGTCCTGGATGACCTGAGCTCCTGCCGACCTCAGCTTGGAACAAACAGCAAGACGTCAGTACAAGGGGGGCCCTGCGAATGAGAGGCTGCCGTCGGGACGGTCACTTGGCCCCACAGTGGGCAGGGCATGGACCTGTGGCACCCATGGGTGCTTGCCCTCACCTCACAGCTGCTAAGATCCAGGTGCAGGTCACTGATGTGGCTGTTGTACGCCAGTCCTTGCAGCATAGCCCTGGAAAAGTCACCAGAGCCACCCATTGATATGAACAACACGGGCTCTGCCCCTCACAGCCCCCCATCCAGCATCCCTGAAAAGCTCCAAGTGTGACCACCAGGACCAACATCCACCCCAAATCCACCCCCCAGCAGATCCCAATTCCAATCCCAGCCCATACCTGACAGCATCTGGAGGCAGCTTGGTCCCCGCCATGGAGATGTGCCTGAGTGCACGGGCCTGACTGAAGAACTGCTTGACACTGGGAGAGATGGTTTTCACCCTTCTGGAAAGAAAAGGCACAGAATGGCATCATCTGCCATCACTGGCTGCCCACTCCGCCTCACAGCCTGGGGCTCACCGGTGTGAGTACACGTTTTTGGAGAGATCCAGATGGACCAGGCTGGCACAGCATCCATGGACCAGTGCCCCAAAGAGCTGCAGAATGGCATCAAGAAGTAGTCAGCCAGAGTACAACCCCAAAATGAACCAGAAAGGGAAGAGTAGTGATGAACCCCCACGGAGACAATCAGCTCCAAGCTTCCCCGTGAAGCCACAGCTGGGATTTGGACTCACAGTATCCAGAGAGCAGTCAGTGGCAGCCAGGCTGAGGTGTGTGAGCGAGCTGCACCGGCCCAGGAGGCTCTGCAAGCTCTGGAGGAGAGAGGGTCAGCATCTCACCCAGGACCACGCTTCCCACCCCAACAACCCCAGCACTGATGGTCCCAGGTGCCTCCTTGCTCTTGGTGGCATCTCCCATCCCATCCTCACACTGGTGTCCTCCATGGCCAGGCTGCCAGCGTTCCCTGAGAGGTCCAGGTGCCGGAGAGAGGAGCTGATGGCTTCGTTGGCTGTGAGTGCCTGGCACAGCGCATTCATCCCTGCTTGGGCGGAGGGAGAGATGGGTTTGGGCAGTAGGACATGGCATCCCTCAGCATCACACCCTCACAGGGGTCCGCACCTTTAGCACTGAGCATTGTCCTGGCCAAGTTGAGGCTCTGCAGGCCAATGGGTCTCTCCTCACAGAGCCGGCTGAAGGCAATTATCCCTGGGAAGAACAGAACAAGCCCTCAATATCTGCCAGCACAAGCAAGAACCCATGTCATGTGGAAGTTGGGCAGTGTGGGCACCACCATGGGCAAAGGGATCCTAGGATGCCCAGAAAGGTGGTGGTGCCCCATCCCTGCAGACAGCCAAGGTCAGGTTGCACGGGGCTCTGAGCACTGATGGAGCTGTGGGTGACCTCACTCAGTGCAGGGAGTGGGACCAGCTGGTCTTTAAGGTCCCTTCCAACTCAAACCACTCCATGATGGTGAAGGGGCGGGATGTGAGATCAAACCACAGCTTGCGTGGGCTTGGATTTACCCCCATGGAGTACCTCTGTCTTCCAGCTGGTTGCCAGCGAGGTTGATGGTGTGCAGGACGGACTCAGGATGTCTGCTGAGTGCCTGGGCCATCCTTTGAGCAAAGTCACTGTGGAGAGCAGGACACCCACCCCATAGAATTACCAATCAATAACAGAGCATTCTGAGGGCAGGCTGCAGGGGACGAAGCATCCAATCCCTGTGCAGGGCTGTGGGTCACCAAGAGACTTCCCCTCATCTTCCTCCGCTCTGTGCCAAACAGACCCAGAGCCCTCAGACCCCTCCCCATCTCATAGCCCTCCTATGGATGCTCCCTAACAACTCTATGTCTTTGTATCGAGGTGCCCAGGCTGAGCTGTGGAAGTGAGGACTTCCCTTACCCCCTCAGCCCACTGTTCTCCAACACCAGCTCCTCCAGCATCACCGACTTGCTCAGCATGTAGAGCAGCTGCTCGGCGATCTCCTGGTTCTGCAGGGGCACAAAACTGCTCAGATCCCAGCCCTGGGGGCAGATCAGCTCCCCGCGTGGACACTCACCAGCCTGAAGTCCTTGCAGGAGAGCTTCGTGAACCACAGGTTGAAGGACAAGGCGGCCACGCTGAGCGCCACATCCCTGTGGGGTGACAGAGTGCTGCAGCCCCCCATGCTCACCCCCAGGCACGTGGCTCCAACCCACGTGAGAGCAGAAACAGGGGCAGGTGGCAGGGCTCATACAGAGCTTCACATCTGTGAGCAGAGCCGGCTGCTTTGCATAGGGAAACGCCTGACTGGTGAGAGCCTTCAGCTCACACCTCTGCACAGGGCTGCCAGGCTCATGTAAGGGCTCAAAGCGAAGGCTGCCCAGCCTCGTGCCCCATGGGACAGGGCTGCTGGCTGCGTGGGCTCAGAGGAAGCAAGCAGAGGTTGCAGATGTGCTCTCCTTGAAGCACAAAGCTATGAGGTGTGACAGCAGCAAGCCCTGCCATGGCTGGTGAGGATGGGGACGAGGTGGTGCTGCAGAGGGACTCACCGGCTCTCCAGGTGGCTGAAGTCCAGCAGGCTGAACTCCCGGCAGTCTTGGCCGTGGTAGATGTTGTCCACATCCTGCTCAGGGAACAGACGTACAGACAGGGCTCAGTGCCACCTCCTGTACCTCCAGTGCCCCAGAGACACAGATATCCCCTGAGCCTCAAAGCACGTGTCTCAAATGGATGGGAACCTTCACCACTGCTTGGTGGCTCCCTGGTCTTGGATATTGGCCAGAAGAAGCCAGAGGGAAATAGGAACCACTGTGGTGGAAATGGGGACTTGGAGTGGTCACCGTGCACCAGGACAAGGGGACAGCCTGACCACGGGTCAGACCTCAACTATCTCCAAGGATGGGGGCATCCATCTTGTGGGTGTACGGGCATCCTATTGACCTGCATGTGTCCCTGCACAGCTGTCCCATGGATTGCCCTCCATGGGGATGCTGGGATGTACCCAGCCCTGCAAGGAACCCAGGAGCATCCCATTTCATCCCATTCCCCTGCCTTCCCAGCGACATGTTGGGATGCTCTGTGGTGTGGGGAGGCTCACCCACTGGATCTCCTCACGGAAGGCAAAGCCATTGTAATCACATAACGCAGCGTAGGTCTCCGAAAAGCCACCTGCAAAGAGAAGGCAACATTGCAAGCAGTGCTTCCCAAGGAAACATGCAAAGGATCCCTGAGATGGGCAGAAAGCAGGAGAAGGAAGGCAGGGCTCTCCTGTCCCTCTTCAGTGGGATCAGAGCATCCTGCCTGGTCCACAGCTGTTTTGATGGGGAGGGTGGCACCCTGGCTGTCCATCCTTGCATGTCCTGTCCCTTTTTTGGAGAGCTGCCCCATGGGATGGGCTGTGTGCTTACCACAGGGCCCCTGGTTGCTCTGCAGCATCTCCTCCAGCGAGTCCGTGACCATCCGGATCCTCTCGTACAGGTTGGGGGGTGAGTTCTTGAGCAACGTCCTGGGGAAGGGCAGGAGGGCATGCTGGAGGGCTGGCAGGGCATCCCCACCAGCTCTGAGCCCTGTGCCAAGCTCAGACGGTGACCAGAAGCATTCATCCCAACGTGATTGAGTGATAGGATGGAACAGGGCACTCGTTTGGCCTCCATCAGTGTGGCTTTCTCCTAGTGCAAGGACCCAGCCCATATTTTGGGTCTTTCTGAGCAAATAGGCGACACGACCCCTCGGATGCCTACATGACAACCCCGAGGAGCAGAGGAGCCTTACCCAGGGGATGAGTCTGGAAAGACCTTCTTAAGTGACATGGTGACATGGACAACGACTTGCTCCAAGTCATCGAAGGACATGAGCCGGAAGGCGTACGAGGATGTATCTGTTTCTATGACAACCTGCAGAGTGTCCAAAGGATGGGAGATGCCTGGGAATGCTGGCAGCGTCCCTGAGCCCGCAGGCACAGCAGTGACAGCAGCCAGGCACTCGCCTTTGCTCATCATCCTCTCTGCCTGCACCGGGTAGAGTTGAGAGCACCAGGTAGATGGGATGAACTGTGTTAAAAATGATGTGATGTGCCAGAATAAGGCATCAGTCCCCCCCAGGTTCAGTGTAAAAGCAGCCCCAAACAGGGAGGGAAGAGTGCTTAACCTGCAGCAGCTGCAGGATGATGCTGGTTCAGTGCCCACGGTCCTACAGCCATTCATCTGCAAGAAAACCCCCTGCCCTCTTGCCGCACCAAGCAGCCCCCAATGAAGGTTTCCTCCCTGAATTTCTTTAATTGGGTTTCGAGGCCTTTTTTTAGCTTTCAGCTCCTCCCAGATCCCATGGCAACGCTCTCCCTGATTTAATTACAGGCTGGCTGAGCCGCAGGAGGAAGACACAGCGATCTGCTGGGACCGCCTGCGGGCCGCTCGCTGCTCCCGAGCCAAGCACAGGTGCTGGGGTTTCTGCTCTCTCCCCCAGCTCAGATCTGCAGCCTGCTGCTAAAGCCCAGGCAGGAGCCCTGCTTAGAGCTGGAACGCTTCTTTCTAACAATGCTTTAAAGAGCAAAATAAAGATCGGATGCCAACGGGGACCACAGCCCCGCGTTTGGCTGAGATGCCCCATTGAGGGCATCCCACTCCTCTCCATGCTCTGTCCCCGCTGCATTGCTGCCCGGCTCTAAGAGGATTAGTGAGGTTTAACACACTCTCTGGCTAAATTTGGCCTCGCCTGGGTTAAGCCAGCCACACTTTATCACCTTGTCCCCACCAGCAGGAGCAGCCACCACGGCCGGGGCTGCAGCCATGCTTGTCCCCAGCCCCATGGGGTCCCCCTGTGGTGCCACTCACCACGCTGGGCTCTCGCACAGTGATGTCCCTCACCTCCAGGAAGCTGAAGCTGCTGTGCACCTGTGGAAGGGGAGCGCTGGAGCAGCACAGCATGGATGGATGGGACCCATCCTCCACCCCATGCCAGCCCCCCATTTTATTTTCCCTATCTCATCCCACACTGCAGCCCTGATGGAGCCCAGAACTCACCCTGACCGGCAGCATGGCCAGCAGCACGTAGGCTCGCCAGGGTGTCAGCACCTAGATGGGGGAAATCAGTGTGACGGGAGTGGGGTGAACATTGAATACAAACAATGCAGCCTGCAGTAGGGCCAGGGCAGAGAGTGGGGTGCTGTGCTGGGGTCCCCCCACGTGGATTTTGGGCTAAATGCAAAGGGACACTGCACAGGACTCTGCACCTACCAAAACGTAGTCGTCGTACTTGGATTTCACCTGCAGCTGCACGCTCTTGAGCAGAAGGATCTGTTTTGCCCCCAGGGAGGCGGCGATGCCCTCTGTAAGGATCGGTGTTGGGGTTACTCTTGTATGGCTGCCCTGCACGCACACAGCAATCCTCTCCCCCCCTATGCCAGGAGGCAGCATTGAGGGCACACATACCATTGGCATCCAGCTCCCCTGACCCACAGCAGCAGCCCCCATTGCATCCTTCCAGATGGGCCATAACTCCACCAAACCATCCCTGATCACCAGTGGGATGCAGAACCACACTGTCCTACACTGAGCCCATCTAGCTGAGCTCTGCCCTCCCTGTGGGACATCCAGGATTGAGTTCTGCCCACGCATTCCTTTGGAAACCCCCTTTGGCCACAACGTGCATCAGTCACCACACGTGCTGACCCTGTTTGTGTTTGCAACCTTTGTCTCCATTGCTCAGAGGATGGCAGCACCATGAACACAATCGCTCATCCCCATGCAAAACAGCCAGAGCTGTGGTGGTGACACTGAGCCCTGCTGCTGGCAGAGCTCCTGCACCCAGAGCTCCTCTGTCAAAGCTCTCGCTTGGATTTCCGCATCCCTGCACTGCATGGTTTCACCCAGCCCCATCTCTGCACACCCATCCCGGGGTGGGTTTCTATTTGTGTGCCCACGGGGACTCTGCTGTCTCGGTTAGCACCAGACAGGGAGGGCAAAATCAGAGCATACAGGTCCCCATTGCATCATCCCTTTTGCAGCCCTCCCTGCCCGCCTGGGAACCCCACCACCAGCAAACCCCGATGGCCAGTGGGAGCTGCACAGAACCACATCCTTGAGATTCCAGCCTGGCTTTTTGGGGACACTTTTGGCCTCAGCAGCATCCTTAACAAGCAGGCTTGGCAAGCAAGAGCGAACCTGCTCAGAACTCCCTAAGATGTGGCTGCGGGCCACGAGGAGCTCAAAGCAGCCCTGCCAGCCCCAGTGCAGCCACGGGCTCGAGGAGGCCCTGCACCAACGGTCATCCACACAGCACAGCATCGCTTACCTTGCAGCTCAGCAGGGATCCCTCCGGGGGACACGGCCATGGCGGGGCGAGCAGCACAGCGGGGTCAGGGCAGCATCCTCCAGCACAGCCCCTGCTCGGTGTCGGGAGGAAGCACTGAGGTTACCAACTGGCAGCACCTCCTCCCCCTCGCTGCACTCGGTGCCTCTTCCTGCCCCGTCAGGCAAGATTTACCCAGCCAGCAAGAGATGAGAGATGAGAGCGACGGAGCCTGCAGCCCACGCAGCACCCGCGAGACCCTGAGAGCATCTTTGAGCTTACAAGGGGGCCACGAACAGCGTCTTCAGGCTCGGAGGCTCGCCGGTGTCCTCTTGCCCTACAGAGAGACTGGTTTGGGGAACATATTTCTGCTTTGGTGGATGGAGGTGAGTGGTGAGAGAGAGAAGAGCTGCTCAGAACATGGGGAAGTCATCCTGCTCGTGTTGGGCACCTGGAGGGACTGCTGATGTAGACGGGCACTGGTGTTCATCACACTACGGTGCCCCCTGGCCAGCCATGGCTGGTGCCCCAAAAAGCAGGATTGCCTGTTTGAGCAATGCAGCAGGCACTCTGCTTTCCCAGGGAAGGCTCCAGACAGACTCCATCATAGAAGCACTCCTGGATGGAGCAGAGCTGTAGAACTTCAGACCCAGTGTTTGCCAGCGTTGGCTCAGCAGCCACCACCAGAGTGGTGCTGTGGACACCTGAGGTTGCAGCATTTTTGAAACGAATCTTAAGCATAAAAGTGAAGGCAGGAAGCAATACCCCTGCGGGGATGGCTGTCTCCAGAGCCCAACCACAACACATGGCAGCTTTGTATCAGAAGCCTTCCTGAGAGCCTCGTCATGTCAGGAAAAGGAAGAGCAGCAGCCATGCCCAGCCCAGGGTGGTCCTGTCTGGATCTATGGCTTTTCCAGGACTACAGGACAGCAGGCTTACTGGCTCTCAGGAACAAAACTGAGTGTGATCTGACTATTGGTCCCCAAATCTTCCTTCTTACCCTTCTTGAAGACAGACAGGATCTTCTTCCAGGTATCACAGACCTCCTCAGGTCAACTAGAAGGTTTCAAAGCTGATGGACCATGGCCTCACACTGGTTTCCTCAGCACCCTCAGATGCGTCTTTCAGGCTGCCATTAGGTTTGGGCTCCAGGAGGTCACCAAGCAGCAAGATAAGAGCATCACTGAATATCTTGATCTCTCTTCCATGTTTTCCATGTCCTGCTCTGTTAAACAGCAGCCTGGCCTTCTCCTTAGCTGCAGCTCTTCCTGCTCCAGAAGCTTTGTGAGGACAAGAGTAGAAACAGTCATTAGTTTTTCTCCCACAGGAGCAAAAGAGAAAGCCATGGTTGATACTTCTTACCCCTCAGTCTGACACCCTCAGCTGTAACACAGGAGGAATCAGTCCCTCTGAATGTGGAAGCTCCCAGCAATTGGGATCAGGTGCCCAAGCCAGGAGACCCAGCTCAAACTGAATGCAAAACCAAGGCACGGTTAGTGAGCACACACAGAAACCAGGTCAGCCAGCAAGGCATGAGGTGACAGATATGTGAAGGGGGATGCTCACAGGTACTGCTCCCATCCACACCACACCCTCAGCTGGGCTGCTGTAAGGTCACCCCAGAGCCATCAAATCAGTGAGCAGCCAGTCCAGCACCTTTCAAGTAAGTGTCCTCTTGGCCACCCTCTCTCCTGGAGCACAGCAGGGCTGTAAGGTAACCGAGCACACTGCCTACACAACCACCAGTTATCTGCACGCTACCACTCGCAGCTGACAGCACATCATGATTTAATTCCACCACCCTGCACTCAGGGCTCGGTGGGGGGAGGAACACCCACAATGAGAGCAGAACCAGCAGCACAGCAACAGCTGCTCCCTGCTCCCATTGTCCTGCAGCACCCTTCCAGGAGGGGCTGTGCAGCCCAAAGAAAGCAGCCAGCGAGCACACACGTTAATCCATTATTATTTATTAGCTGTACAGCAGTATATTCTCCTTCCCAGCTTTCAAACCCCATTACATATTTTATAACAGTATTTTTTTTTTCCATGTTGGCTTCCTAAAATAATGAAAAATATCACACAGTACAGCTAAGTACAAAAATGCATCAACCTAGAGTCTGATAGCTAAACTGATAGCTCTCTTAAAAGCGATACATAGAAGAAAAATTTGTTTGAAATCAGCAAGACTGAGGCTCTATAAAAAGCTTACATATTTTAACATGTGACAGTTTCATATACAGGCATCATTTGTATTTCACATTATTCCTTTTGTCTTTATTAGAGATCCAAAATTGTGTAATTACTGACCTATTAAAATTTCCCGGCCCAGGTTTTTGAGGGCTGCAGTGACCCACTTAAAAATCACCACTTCTGTCTTAACAAAGGATTCATAAACACAAAATACAACTACAAGATAGAGCAAAGAAAACGTAGTCGTGAGGTTATAACTCAAAAAGAAGGTTCCTTACATGTTTCCAATGCTGGTTCTGTGTGCTTTAAAACCAGCTTTCACCTGTGGGTTTCTGCTGTTCCACAAGCAATAGCATTGGGTACACATCTCCTCTATGTGATCAGTTATCAACAGCTTTTCCAACATTTACACTATTGATCCTCTCATCACTTAGTTCAAAAGGAATTAAAATACCAGGGGTTTATTTCAACTGTATTTTTGCATACCTCTTAATTAATGGAAAAAGATTAAAATGTAAAAAAAAAAAAAAAGTTATTTACAAGCTTGACCATTACAGAAATGCTTTGCAGAAAGCAAAGCATATTAAGGACAGAAACCAGTTGGAGCATGCCAAAACTACCGCGTGCAGCCGACTTGGAGAACCAGAGCTAGTCAGTGGGGGAAAGCAAAAAACATTTAAAAAGTCTAGAACCCTCCCAAGTCTGCATTTACAGTTAAAAACACTACTGAGAGAAGGAGGTTCAAGGACTCTGGGAACTGGAAGGGCAAAGTCCGGAGTGGTTTACCACATATTCTAGTCAAGGCTTCCACTTCTGTATCATAAAACTCGTTGCACGTAAAGCTGGCCGTCCGAGGACCCTGTTTACAATGCAGTTCAGAACAAAACTAATCAAGCACCTCACGGGAAACCCTCATGGACTCCGAAGCATTTCCTAATGTTCCATGATCCTGTAATGCTAACATAAAACAGCAAGTTCTAGTTAAATCACATTCTAACATCATTTTGAAGTTTTATTTCCCAGTATGTTTGGTAAAATGGTCTAAAATGATGCATTTCCCAAAGCCAAGAAAAAAAGGTAAAAGGAAAAATAGATTTGAGCCGCTTAAACACAGCCCAGGCCAGTTCAGTCATCCGGCGAGGTCTTCCTCCATCACCGGTCCATCATGCTGAGAATCATCTCAGGAGTGAGGTCTCCATTTGGAGCTTCCACTACAGCAGGCTGAGCTTCCTCCTCTTCCTCTACTGTTTCTGCATCAGGTTCTTTCTTTACTTCAACTATAATGTTTTCGATTTCACCAGTGTTCTGGTCTTCAACCTGAATGATTGCTGCAGCTGGAGGGGCAGAAAACAAAGGGGGAAAGAGGAAAACAACAGCTTTTAGCCAGTTGCAGAGCTGTTATCAGATGACTTCTCAGTACATATTTAGGACTTTTGTATGGAAAAAGAAGGTGAGACCCACAATGAAGGCACTCCCACTTCATGGGAGAGTGACTCAAGCCACTTCACTCATCTACAAACCCTCCATTTCACAGAATCACAGAATGGCTTGGGTTGGAAGGGACCTCAAGGATCATGAAGTTCCAACCCCCCTGCCACATGCAGGGCCACCAACCTCCACATTTCACAGCAGCCCAGGCTGCCCAGGGCCCCATCCAACCTGGCCTTAAACACCTCCAGGGATGGACGGGGCATCCACAGCCTCTCTGGGCAGCTGTTCCAGCACCTCACCACTCCCACAGTAAAGAACTTCCTCACCCCTGCATGAAGATGTGCTAACAGTACAAACAGTAGGCACGCTGCAACTTTAAGACCACGTTCAAACAATGCCCCTTGCACAGCAGCCAACCAGTGAGGCAACAGATGTGCATGAGAGCAGATCAGACCAGCCCCTCTTCACTCATGGTGAAGAGAAAAGCTTCAAACTGAGGGAAGTCCAGTCACACTTGTGACTACGTCAGCATGAGCAGTTTCTGCAGGCTGTTATGCAGGAAGGCCACACCTGTAGCACTGAGCAGACAGCCAGGCCCCCAGGGAGCTATCACCCCCTGCAGGAAAGGATTTGCCCTTTCTGCTTTGTTCCCAGTATTTTTAACTCAGGCTTTGCACAGTTATTGATTTCTCTTCTTAACAAGAGAACTCCAGAGAGCTGAGGCTACATCTGCACGCTCAGAAATGCAACTCTGAAGCACGCTCATCTGTGCTAAGAATGCCAAGTGATTGTACAAAGTTATGTAAACACTAACTGTACAATAACACAAAGAAATGTGCAGTTTGCACATCTGTGAGTTGAAATAATACTGAAGAAAAAAACATCCTCTCCTTTTTTGCATAGTCTGAAGCGACCCTGCTTCCTCATGACCAGAAAGCACTCACAATTCATTTCAAGCCAATGGTGCAGCCTTTGCAAAGCACAGACAAGTGCAATTTTTTTTTTTTTTTTTTAAATAAGCTCCCTTGAGAGGAGCAGTTCTCTTATAAGAATGGTCCAGTCAAAGAACAAAAGCAGTTCAAGCAGCATAACAAGTGACTTACGCTGGGATTGCTTTGTTTGGGTGGCAGCTTTGCCTGGTGGTCTCCCTCTCCTCTTCTTACTGGGAGGTGGTGCAGGAGCCTCTGGCTCAACTTCTGGTTCAGCCTCAATTTCTACTGCTGTCTCCTCCTCATCTTCATTATCATCCAAATCTGGTTCAGCGTTTTCCTCTAAAAGAAGCATTGGATCAAGTCAGACTTCAGTTCAAGCAAGACTGAAATACCCACCTACAGAGAAGAACCACCAAATCCTCAGCCATAAGGACTCAAGTCAGAACAAAATGCAAATTTTCTCTGCCAAGAAGCTGGTGGTGTGGATGTCAGTCTGTCACCTCACCTTAGAGGCAAGGAATTGCCACTTAGTCAAGTTTTTTTTTTTTATTTCTATGTTAGGCTATGCAATAAAAGCTCCTCTGAAGGAGCTCAGAGACATAATGGCAGGATGGTGAGCCCTTGTCACAGGCTGCTGGGCAGTTCCATGCCTGTTAGGAACCATTAGATCCCAAAAGTTCCACCTGGTATATTTTCCAATAGACTTCATCTGGCAGCAGTGACTGCAGTGTCTCTATGACACATTCTAGAACTCGAGAGTGATCCAAAATCAAGTTCCAGCCCTCAAGAAACAACAGTGCCATATCTATTTTTTTTGTTGTTAAACGAGTAGGAAACCAGCACTGCAGCTCCCTAAATGGAACTTCATGTCCAAGAACTCAAAATCTTCAGCTGAATGCGACAGGACCACACAAAACTGGGGGGTTCTTAAGAGGTGAGCACAGTTCTATAGATCACACATTGTGCTTTCCAATGCCATCAACAAACAGCAACACACCAACCAGTGAACAAAAGGATCTTCCCCAGAACTTCTTTACTAAAGGCAAGAGAGCCCACTACAGTATATTTTAAAGCCATGCAGCTCCCATCCAGCTCTGCATCTTATTGCATTTTGGAACTGATTCCAATCCAACAGGCTCACAGCAAGCTGTATCTTCTTGCAGCTTTTATACTGTTAACTGGGCTAATCACTCCAAACCTTACACCTCCAAGTACTCCCTAAAGTTACCATGTTTAGCACCATCAACAAGCTCAGGACGCCCTGCACGTGAGCAAGGTGATTCATCACAAGGGCCTGTTTTGTCACAGCTTTGCTCACCATTTTCTAGAAAATGTGGAAGTTGTAGAAACTCATGAAGCTGCAGATCAGGAGATAAGAACGCCAAATGCTAAAACTGAACGTAGCTAGAACTGCTTTCTTAGTGCTATTCACTCATGCTGGTGAATTGCTTCTCCATCAGATGACTCCTGAGGAAGTCAGCCCAAACTTGGCAGCTCATCTAAGGCTGAAGGAGCTGTGTCAGCCAGGGAGTCTGAGCCACAAGCACACAAGACCCATCAGCTCACCTAACAAGCATGACTTGTGACCAGCTTCCCCACAAACTGCTTTGAAACCCACACACACCATATCAACTAAGGTTCACAAGAAGCCTACAAACCAAACATTAAAAGCAGACACTCCAGAATCACTTGATTTTAATTAGTTTTTATCAAGATGGTTATTTTACTTCGTCCCCTAAATCCTGCCATGTTTTACATGAACTATGAGTTACCCATGCTTTATCCAGTGGACTACAACACACAGTTCCCAAGTATCTGTACAAACATGACTTTAAGAAATGACTTACTATTAGAGTTTCTGCTGTCAGGATTTGCACAACCACCAGTTTGACCATACTTGTCCAAGTTCCTGTAAAACCTGTCTGTCACTTAAGATTTTCAGATACATTCCCTACCTACATCCCTTCATTAATTACATAAGGGACTTCAGATGAAAGTCTACTTTGCAATACTACTTTAGGAGAATCACCTTTGATCTGGTTGGTCTTTACACCCCATCTGGATTTTCCTGCTGAAGATATGATGGTTTTTCTTCCAGCAGGAAGAAAGACTATGAGCTTTTCCTTCATCAAGAATACCTCAGTGAAGGCAAGCAGTTTATCTGCAGAAACAGTTTGCCTCCCTGTTCTGGAGAAGCTTGTAGACAGCAGCCACTCTATTCTGAATTGCACTTATTTCACCTTTTGACACTTGATTTGACAAGCCAGGTGTCCCTCAATGGCCATCTTCCCAAC